AACGCGTGTTGTTGACATACAAAAGGTTATTTCATTTTATTATCGCTTTATTTCAAGCATCATTACTATTCTGTGCATCACCTCACCATTGCCATATTCCTTATTTTCGTTCGGCATTCCGTTTTAAACAAGTTTAGTTACATTATATTAATGATTTGATGCATACGATTCATCGTTGCTGATAACGCATTCAGCTGAAACAGCGATTGCTGGTGTTTTTATGGTCATATTTGTCACATGTCAGCGAATTAATATCCTCCCTTGGATATGCCCTTCTTGACATCGTTGTCATGATTTCTTTCTTTTTTAATGTTTTTATTACGAATACAACGTTTAAAATTACAGCAGTGTTATTCTCCATCGACACAACAAATCGTTCGCAATAATATAACGTATTCACCTAGTCCAAGTCCCACACCAAGTCCTACGCGTCGTATTATGAGGTTCTTGACCTACTGTTGTTGATCGTTTTATTTTATGATTCAGTCTCAGACTATTCTGTTCGTATGTCACATTTTCTTCAGCAAATCAAATGAAATTTGTTCATAATTCAGGAGTTTAAGTCCAATAGCTGTAAGACAGATCACAAAACGACGATATACGAATACGACAGCTGGAGGAGTGGATAGTGATGGAGAATCCTCAACATCAGGGTTATTATTCGTTTTCGCAAATTCCATTTTAAAAAATAGTTTTGGGTTCAGTTAACCGTGTGGAAGTGAATAACTCTGCGTTTTACATTGAACGTCAATTTTTCAAAATTGTAATATTTAATTATTAAGCGCTAATGAATAGTTGTTAAAAATTCATTTTTCAGTTCGTTGATTGAATATAATTCAACAATTACAGAATAAATGGCTCAGCCCCGAAACGGGCATGTATATCATCGCAACAATGGTCAAATGGAGGTTCATCCTCTCCACTGGCCAACGAACGCTTGTCATACTTGAGCGCTTTGCCCTCACCTGACGCTTCACTTTTGTAAGTATCACATTAAATCAATTAAGATCATCACTCCAATAAAACAAAATGAATTCTTTATTCACATCTTATTTTTGTCATCCGTTTACTTCAAAAAATAATCTTTATTGGATAATTTTGCAATGGTATTCAGAAGTGAGATTGTGCAATCGAAATGAGAATGCAGTTGCATGATGGTAATTACTTGATGGAGTGAACTGAAGAAATTATTTCAGATCCTCGTCAACATCGTTCCCAACAGCAGACAGTCGTATGAATGGCATTGTATCGATGGCACAAACCTCCTTCTCGGCACCACAGCCTCCATATCGAAGCATCGTCGATAGTAATGCTCAGCGGTTGACACCACTAGTATCACCGATGGATTCAGATGAATCCATTTCGAATGTTGGTGACGAAGAGATTACTTCACAATCGCATTCCCCACCAACACCGAAACAAACAGTTAATAAGGTATTGAATTATTATCATTTGTTTAAAAGTTTCTGCTTGTGTCGTTATCAGTATTAGCATTTTTATAATTGTTGCTGTGTTCGAGATTTAGTCATCCCTCACAAATGCTTGTCATGTTGTTTCGTTTGGCGACTTTTGAAATGCTGAAACTTGGTAGTAAGTATTTCCTTATTAGGTAAACTTGAGCTGTCAAGAAAGTAATTTCTTACGTAAACTTAAGTGTGAATTGTTCCAGTTACATGAACTTACAATCAGTTCGTTTGCTATCAACTAACTGATTCTAAAATAAAATCGCAAAATTCAGGGATGTGATGATTCGTTCACATACGAATGTGTGTCGAATAAGAATGACGAAACTCTATCATCGTCATCCTCGTCTGCGTCGGTGAACAATAATATTCGTGAAAGTGAATCGTTGTGATAGAAGTTGACTGATGAAACAGTTATTACGCTATTCATACTTATTCCTTATTCCTTCTCAAGCAGTTATAAAATATTCTCTCTTCAAACGGTTATTACTTATTATTCCGGGTTATTATTCGAATATCTATCAATTTAAATCATATAAATAGAACTGATATAAATTCAAATATAATGGATATAAATATAACGGCACTACATGGGTCGAAATGATGGAGTACTAACCGGTACATACAACCAAAAATGAATGGAAGTGGTAAAATGCGAAGGTGTGTGCTAATAAGGGTATTTGTGTTTGTGATTCGATGTGGCGTGTGGAATATCGGGTAAATAGATATTTTATAAAAAGCAATATGTAACGGTCATCAGTACATTGAATGGAAGGTGTTGCAAGTGGCTGTATTCATTGACTTATTTCTGAATGCATTTTTGGATGAATATTACAATTGGATGATTCTATACATATTTTGTTTTTTATTAATTGTTGCTGATTATGATTTTAATTCACTATTGTCAAATATTGTTTAATTGTACTCTATAGAAATCAGATTATTATTGTTGTTATTGTAGAGAATATTGTGTATATTGAAACGATAGCACCGATAAACTTCGAAATATTTCATTTTTCTTGAATCTGTTTCTGCTAATGTAAGGAAAATTGTGACACACTTTTGACGAGTGAATCATTTTGAAGGGCGTCCGCTCGCAGTGAAACTGCTTTGATAAAGGAAAATTAGACATTCGATGATTCGACTGAAGTCGGTCTTTTTTNTTTTTTGCGTTCTTAATTTGGAGGAGTTTGCATTGATCTGATTGATTAATGCATTAAAAATAATTGGATGTCTCCATTATGTCATTACCCCTACATCTCCTTCATGTAACTTGATAATATTTTCCTTGCATTATGCTCTTGCTAATATTGATAATTGTTTACTTGGATCTGAAAATAACATGTAATTAAGATATAATATAATGTATAATTTTGATATTGAATGATCTGTGGCACTGGACATTGTTCTCTGGTTTTTATTCGTTTCATTCGACTGTTTCCACTGTAATCTTTAAAATTTTTCATGAATCATAATACAAATGATGATACGATTACTTTATATGTTCAAAATTTTATTCTGTGCATTTTTGATGTTTATCTATGATTCTTCTTATCACTTCTCATTGTAAATGAACTTGTGTTAGTAATTTATTCGATTGCAATCGCTTTACTATACGCGGTCGGCAAACTTTTCAACGTAGGAGCTGGGTTGATTTTGCGAATTGGCTGGTTAACTGGTAATGTGCTGAATGTGTTTCGTGAACGGGATAGAACAGAGCCTTATCGAGTTCGCGCTATCCGGAAAGGGCTCGTTTTGTTGAAATTGATGGGCATTTATTGTTTTGCCGACCCTTCATCTGTACCGTTATTTTTACTCGTGTGAAGATTATATTTTCAAAATGCATACCTTTAATAAATCTAGTGCGTATTCTTTGAAGTGTTGAATATGAGCTCCAAACTGATTTCAATAAAGAGGTGTGATGAATATGTGATAACAATCATCCGAATCTATTTCACACAAACTTTCTGTCATGTACGCGGTTACTTTCACAGTATCATTTTAGCCTCCAGCTGTCAAATAAGCTCCACATATGCCAATCGTTATAATATTCTTTGCAAATTCGTTTCAGCAATGAAAAGTCCCGAATTTAATTGAGAATGAGTCGTTTTAAAAAATTCCGCTAAAAATTGGTTGTAGTTTTATGTTACGTTTCCATATATTCAAAAGTGCTGGAAAATATGATCGAATCAATTAGATATGATAACGATAAGTTTGCATGATCGATTTGTACGCGTGTGCGATGTTGCGGTAGCATATGCCATCTCGTGCTGGAGAGTATCGTATCGTTGCTTGTTTTTGCATATGGAGAAGAGTGATGCGTAGTTGAGGTGATTGAGGTTCATCGCTATCAATAGGAAACTTCTTTTGTTGTTCTCGAAAGCATTTTGCATTCTTACGAGGATGTGTGCGGCATTTCTTGACGTATTCATTGGTGACTCATATGCGTAGTGTCTTATTACACGGGGCAGTTGCAGTCGACTGAGTGCAATGGCGAAATGAAGCAGATAAGAATTGCAAAAACATTTATCCGTTATATTATATTTCTCGGAGAAAGTCTCCAAATCACCTCCGCGTATGCCTGTTGTAACAATATTGTACCTATGACTGCACTCACAAATGCAGTCAGCTCTAGAAACTACGCCATACGTAAACACAAAAATTTTGAATGAACGCAGCAAGAGTTCCACTGCGTGCAAAGGTTTCTTTCGTTAGTTCGAGAGTTATTCATAATTCTGTAGAGAATTTATGATGACTGTAGAGAATCTGAGAGTTTTTTTGCCTGATCGTGAGTTAATTTTTCATTGCTCTCTGATAGCGAAATCTACACGCGCATTGTGTTAGCTCATGCGATTCTATTGATTCGTGATAGCGTGAGGTGGGGCACCAGCATAATCATAGCATTAATATCCTCGTTGTCTTATTCTCATTATTATCACCACTGCTATGAACAGCTTGCGATCACGTCACAAGACTAACTCCTTCTCAACGATGCCAATCAATCACAAAACATTTCTCTCTCCTCAAAACATCATTTTCATTCAAACTATTAAAATGAAGCTAAAACTGAACAACACTCTGTTCTATGATATGAGAAGTAATCCATCATCGTTACTAAGCAAAAATATCTGCACTTGATTTTATCATAATTGATCACTGATGAGTCAAATGACTGATTGCCATCTTTCTCTATTGGCTACTCCCAAAGGCATCGTCGCAGCAGACAAATAAATCTCTCATCGAGAACTCTGAATGTACTTTTTGGTATCATCGTTTCATCATCCATTAATCAGCAAAGCTTTTCTCATTTTTCTTCGGGTTTGAGACTGACACTGAAGGCCAGCGACTCATAACAACCGCCCGCGATTATAAATATCATAAAGGATTATTATCTCAGTTGCGTACGTCATGACATGCTCTTTAACAATGCACAGTCTCTCTTTCGTAACGAATAAATCACCAAACATTCATCGGATGCGATAAAATTTTATCAGAAGATTTATTGTCAGCCATAGTTACGCAAATAACTCTGAGGCAGACCAAAACTATGAAAATGCCATTATTTGATGTGTTTGAGAATGGGGTTTTCAAATAATTTTTTAATGAAATTATTTCTGAAATTACTTTTTTTTTCTCGGGCAATTAATACACCAATAAATTAACAGTTGCTATGAGTTGAACGTTTTTCTGACATCAAATAAATTATCAGCAACTCGTTACCCCAGTTCACAAAACAAGTTCGTCAAATGAATTTATCCAAAAACAATTTTTTGAAGATATTAAAGGTGGCCAAATAATATCTTGATCGCTTGAATGTGCAACCAACATGAATATCGTGTAGTGGAACTCGAGAAATGACATTTCTAGAAGTGTTCGTTCATCACTTCGCTTTTCGAGTGTGTATTTCAAGTGCAATAGATGCAAAGATTGATAAATACATTCAGCTAAAGAATGATGCCAATAGTATCAATCATTATGACGCAATTTTTCAATGAATATCAAAATGAATTGTGAATTTTGAAATAATCGATTTTTGATTGTCTCCAAACGTGTTTTCGTTTTCGTGTAAATACATTCAACTTCGATTCTCCAGTCAAAACTGGTTTTGAACTGCGAATTCCGTAAAGTCATCACATAAATATATCACACAAAACGATTCTAGTCTGTTATCGTCTTTTACTCATTGCCTACTACTTCTAGGCTGTCTCCTCAGATTTTTTCAGTGCGTTTATTTAGATTTGCATAAACCGTTTCCCTGGAGACATCACAGTCTTCTATTTGTTATTCTTTTCTGAAATCTATTCCAATTTCAACTGTGGAGTTATCATCATAGCCAATTTCAAGTTTGCTTTCTGATTTAACATTCCTTTTGTTTGAACTGAATTTGTCACGTAGTATTAATTTCCTCGATCTTGAGAGGAATTAAGTGAGTATATATGCACTTCAAACCGTTAACACATATATTTATTATGAACACATATATATTTATTCGCGTTCTGTCTGAAGTATTTTTGCAATGCTATTCTTCACTGATCCGTTGTTCCAAACTTACTCTTTGTT